CATCTTGTAATTGTGTACCTATAAATATATGCAAACATATACACACATGCACACACACATACATAGTCCTCCGACAAATTTGTATAGCCCATGGGACAAATCAGCCTCCATTGGAGGATCAGCCTCTAATGTAGTATCACCAGAAAGCCACTTCTGTCCTGTTTTGCAGTGTTCAGAAACTCCTCAGGCTGTATTATGCTTCTGCTCCGCTAGTTTATTCCCATGTAACATTTGGTAGATAAGTTGCAATATTTCAAATAGAATAGTGAATACCAACATGTTATAATGCATAAAGTAATACCTGAAGTTTTAAAAGATGCTTGTTGTATTGCAGGGTCTTTGCTTAGGTTTGGAGGCAGGTGGACAATAGCAGGAGTAGGAATCTGGAGATAGTTGGTCATGGCTCTGCAACTGCTCAGGTGCTTTAGTCCATAGCTTCATCATCCATACATGGAGGGAAATGAGTTACAGTTTTTAAAATCTTGACCTCCTTAACCATTCTAAGAGAATAAATGCAGCAAGAACAAAATAAAACTGAAAACAAATGAAAACTACTATCTGTCTTAAGACAGTATAAATTGCATATTCAAATTTTTACTATTTTAGAGCATATTATTATTCTGATGATTTTAAAAAAGGTATTTCAAATAATTATTAGAAGAATCGAGAATTTCATAGAGTTATATACCATTAAGAAATACTCATCGCGAGTCCAAGGTAGATGGTTTTCTCAGAATTCCTCAGAGGACTTCAGAAATTTTTATGGCCCTCAGGAAAGGATAAACTATGTGGAGGGTCCCTGCTGGAAGGTGTGTATATTGGGGCTGGTGATGCTGGGAGCAGAATCTGACAGAGAGTTCATTAGTCATTGACATGCAAGTTGACTTTTCAGAATTGCAAATATTCGTATTCATTTGTTAAAGTAAAATTGGATGAGCATTCCATATTTCTTACCATATAGCAGATACAGCTAAATGAATCCAGGCTTTCACAGCATGTTTGGCCCTTGTGAGAAATGATAGTACAGCTGATAGTTGACCTGAAAACCAGCTCTGTCATGGCCACTGTAATGTTATGGTCATAATTATTCTTTATTCAGTGTTTTCCTATTCTCATCTCTGAGTGCCTCACTCATTTAGATGATCTGTGGACATCATTTCTTCTTGATAGCTTTTTTATTTAGGCACTCTTTTAAATCTTAGTATGATTATTTAACATGCATGTGTAGAATTCTAGTTTGTTTTCATTTCTAGAACTTTCTTCCAATACTTTTGATATGAGTAATTTGATGGTGGTGTGGGGGATTAATAAAAAAGATAATAGATTAGTTTAAATATTTCAAATAATGTTTGCTTGAGGTCGACAGATGAATTCTTTGACTGAAATAAACTGCTGGCATTTGTGATATGCATAATATTATGAGGGTCTCTGCAGAAGAGGTTTTATGATTTTAAAAACTATTAAAGTTCAATTGAACCCTTTGGACGTATTTGTTTAAAAATGTTCTGTAGTTCACACTTTCCTGAGTTAGACAGGATTTCCCCTTAGTTAGTCTGAAATAAAGAGGTTTAGAATGTATGAATGATTTTTAGATGATCTGGCATATGAATGACTCTTGTCCACGTTCTCTCCTGAATATCAAGATTTGGCAGAACAATGTTTGCTCCCACTTATGATTGCCTTTTGTTTGAGTTAAATGAGATTGGTTCTGTTATGAGAAATACAATATGTTTTTCTTAAGTGCTTACATTTTTTAAGGATGATGATCTGTAAAATAATAGTGATGGATGATTAAGCCAGTATAAATGAAATGAAGGGATAATTTGTGAATCTAATATTTTTCAAAAATTATTATAAAGCTGTAACTTGGAAATATTCAAATTATGCCAGAATTTTTTTTGTAGGACTTAATTTCTTTACCTATAAAATAAAAGCTATATTATGTGATTTTTTAACAGAATTTTATGAAATTCCTAGGTCGTCTGAGTTTGATTCTATTTCTGCTTAAGTGTCCCAATTGCTGCCTCCCAGTCCCCAGTTGCTGATGAGAAGAGGAGTGTAGGGCCTTGATCCACATTTAAGTGATAAGACTTTAAATGTTATCTTTCCCAGTGCTGCTTGAATTTACATTTTGTCTTTTTTTTTTTTTTTTAAAGATGACCGGTAAGGGGATCTTAACCCTTGACTTGGTGTTGTCAGCACCACGCTCTCCCAAGTGAGCCACAGGCTGACTCTCATTTTGTCTCTTTTAAAGACTGAAAAGAATGACTCAAATTGTGGACTTCAGGATAGCTAAGTGAGGGTGGTATGTAAGAGGAGGTGAATTTCCAGGGCATTCAATTATGACAAACCACTCTACCTCACAGCTATTTTTCTAAGATTAACATTAGGCAATATTTTCAAAACTAACATCTTTTTGAAATTACGGACTTGATCTTTACAATTTTTATGATTACTGCCTGAAGTTAAAGGGGGAAAAAGAACTTTATTCTTCTTTAGTGGCTGAACAAATTAAATAAAAGGAAGGTATAACACAGTTTATTACATCTAATTTATAAGCAGAACATTTAATTTTATTTCTGTGTTTCTTATTAATACGTCATGTGAGGATGGAAAGTAATACATAAATGATAAGAACTTTGTATGTGATGTAATCAAATACTTGGGATGCAAGATCTGATATTAGTCATACTCTTCTACTTTTCTCCTTTTAAAATTATAATTGGGGGCCGGCCCGGTGGTGCACTCGGTAGAGTGCGGCACTTGGGAGCACGGCGGCGCTCCCGCCAAGGGTTCGGATCCCATATAGAGACCAGTCCGCTCACTGGTTGAGCGCGGTGCGGGCACGACACCGAGGGTTGCGATCCCGTTGCCGGTCATGAAAAAAAAGACAAAAAGGAAAAAAAAAATTATAATTGGACTCTCTATTTGCCTAGATAAAAAAGGAACTATAATTAGCATTGATATTAGTACATTAATATGAGCATGCTAAATCCTCATTTAAAGAAAGAAGCACATGGCTTCTGGTCAAGATAGCACAATAGACGGTCCCCAGTGTCACTCTCTCCCACAAATCAACCAATTTACAACTATAAAAAAGCAACAACAGCCAAGCCAGGGCCACTAGAGCTCAGAGGAAGAGGAGGAGAGACCTATGGAGTGCATGAAGGTGGGAGAAGCCATGAAGAGAGAAAGAAAAAACCTCTCCGACTGTTTCAAATCTTGGCTTGTTTCCAGGCTGGACCTGCTGAGCACATGGAGCAGGAGCTGGCAAAAAGTCACAGCTATGCCTTTTGGATGAAGTTGCTTGGAGGTGGCAGTGGGGAAGAAGGCCTTGGTGGCTCCTGGGCCAGCAAGACCACTAATAGGGTTCCCATGGACCCACATAGGACCGAGGAGCACGACTGAAAAAAAGGGCCAATGAGTCATCGTAACAGACCAGAGCATGGCCTGTCCCATGGGAAGTTTTCGGAGCATGGGTGGTGGGTGAGACAGGACCACTGGGGGAACACTGGCTCACAGCAAAGACAGCTGTTCTGTCCCCCAGTCAGCATAGGACCACTCAGAGGAGACTGTGTAGGAATATTGAATTGCATGGAGTGCAGTTTGATGAGAAGATTCAGGCCCAGACCAGTGTTTCTACACAACCCAGGTGCACCAGATTTCACTAGAACTGGAAGTACCTATAAAGTCAACCATTAAAACCTGAGCTGCACAAAAAGCCTTCCCTAGGGAATCAACAGCAAAGCAGCAATTTAGCTCAATCACAGAGCTCAAGTGCTGGTCCCCACACGAAGTTCCCCCATTGTAGAAGTAAGCAAAGGGCAAAAAATTAGTTCCAGCATAGAGTTAAAGTGGTGGGAACAGCAAATAATCCAACACAGAACTGAAAGAAAAAACAAGTATCCACAACCAGAGACAAAGTTTGATATTAACTAGTAAAGATCTCATTTCACCAAAGAACACCTATAACTAGAAGGACTGGAAGTCCCTTGGGCTACCAAGCCAGAAAGGGGGGAGGGCTGGGGCCTCAGCAATGCTCCCCAACACCCGCAACCAGTCCCAGGGGTGGAGGCCTTGGGCCGCAGCCACACCCCCCGACAAACGTAACCACCCCAATGATGACCACCGAGCCACTGCAGAAAGTGCCCTAGGCTCTCCCGAGCGAGGGTGGTGGAAGGCTGAGGGACTTGGTCATGCCCCCTCAACATGAGCAACCAGCCCAGCAATGACCACTGAGCTGCTGCAGGAAGTGCACTTGGCTCTTCTGAGCCAGCGTGGTGGGGGGGCTGACAGCCTCAGTCACGGCCCCCAACATGAGCAACCAGCCCAGAAATGACCACTGAGCCACTTCAGGAAGCACCCCAGACTCTCCTGAGCTGGGATAGTGGGGGCCTCAGGCTTTGGCCACAACCTCTCCACACCCTCAACCAGCCCAGTGATGACCACCGAGCTGCCACAGGAAATGACCTGAGCTCTCTTGAGCCAGGTCAGTGGGGCGCCAAGGACCTTGGTCACATCCCCTCAACATGAGCAGCCAGCCCAGTGTTGACCACCAAGCTGCAGCAAGAAGGGCCCTGGGTTCCCAAGCTGGGGAGGTGGGAGGCGAGAGCTTTAGCTATACCCCCCTGACACCTGCATCCAGCTTGGCAATGACCAAGCCACTACCGGAAGCCCTCCCTCTGGTCTCCCCTGTTGAAATATGGGGGGTGCCACAGGCCTCAATCCCGCCCCTCCTCCTTCCTCCTTCTTCCACCATGTTTTCTTCCCCTTTGCCCCCTCCCCCTCCCTCCCAACTGCTCTGCAACAACATCCTAGAATGTAAAAAAATAATATTAATAAAAGAAAAGAAAGAAGCACATGCTTTGTGCAGTGGAGGCTAAATCATTCTGACTGGCTCTCACTACCTAAGGGTAAAATTCATGTTGACCCATGACTGGCTTAGTATGTTGAAATGATTATTTGCTATTAAAAGATTTCGGGATTCTTTTCCACTTTAGGGTCCATACAACTTCGTGGTGGCAAAAATGAGTTTGAAGGCACAGTGGAAGTGTATGCAAGTAGAGGCTGGGGCACAATCTGTAGCAGCCACTGGGATGATTCTGATGCTTCAGTCATTTGTCGCCAGCTGCAGCTGGGGTGAGTTCGCCCATTCCTGACCAAATCAGTCTGCTAATGTCTGAGAATATTGCTGGGCACCCTTCATTGCTATGGAAAGATTGAATTTTCCTTCCTGTCACTTTCCTCATTCTCACTTTTCACAAAAGACCTATAAAGAAAGGGGTCCAATGGAGGGAATGAATTCTCTCCATACAAATGTACCTCGCATATTATTACTCCTACTGAACGAGAAATCGGGCAAATGTTAAGAGGACAAAAGTTAAAAGTATCTGTTGGTCTTTGTCTTTAACAAAATAATTGTTTAGGCCTAAGAAGCAAGTAATCTGATTCTAAGGTTACAAATTCTTAGTTGCCCTTGCGACCCTAGGTTCCTGTCATTTGCTTTTGACTTCCTATGTTTAGCCACCCACAAATTCCATTTTTGTTTGTGTAAATGGGACAATGCTTACTTGTGCTCTTATCTGTTGGGTAAGGAGTCATGTCTCAAGTCTTAGTTTTCAGTTATGAGGAGGTCCTGTGAGAGATGGCAGTTTCCACTGGCCTTGGTCATGTTGGGCCATCCTGAGGAGGTGCCCGCCTGGGAACAGGCTCCTCCATAACCCTAGGGAGCCACTGTCTTTAAAACAGGTCATAGTCATGTCTCAAGTCTTAGTTTTCAGTTATGAGGAGGTCCTGTGAGAGATGGCAGTTTCCATTGGCCTTGGTCATGTTGGGCCATCCTGAGGAGGTGCCCGCCTGGGAACAGGCTCCTCCATAACCCTAGGGAGCAACTGTCTTTAAAACAGGTCAGCCTACAGTGACTTCCACCAGTCCCAGCATCTTTATGCCTTGTACCACAGAGTTTCATCAGGAGCAGAAGGCACCACTTTGGAACAAAAGGTTCTGTTTTTGTCTCATATGTTTTTTCTAAGTGCACATGCTATATGTTTTTCTTGGCCTTTATCACTAGATATCTTTAGAAAGCATGAAAAGTACCTTGTTATGAAAAACGCAGATCTAAAAGTCTAGAAAAAAAGGTTTGCAATTTACAAATATTTTGAATTAAGAATGAGTGGTGGTAATGTCTAGTATGATTTATAAATGATGTAGAACTTTAATTTGCCAGATTCCTACTGTCTTCCCACCGGGAAGGAGAGGAATGAGTATTTAGTAAAGGGAAACCTTACAGGCTAAGGTTGGCTCAGACTTTTTATGCTATCAGAGCAGCAAATAGGTTTAATGTATTGAATTAAAATTAATTAATTACTATTTTTGAAGTGAGAGTTAGTATAAATCAGGATGAAAGAAAGGGTAAGACCAAAGCCTATTAAGTGTTATGGTGCTTGGAAACATTAATTACTGATTTGATCAATGAATATTTAATGTGGCAAAAAGTCATTAGCAGATAGGCAGGTTGCAAAGAATATCATTTGATTCTTTTTCTTTGAGGGTCAGGAGAAGTAACAAGTTTGTGAGCTGGTGTCAGAGTCTTCCTTTATATAAATACCTATATGTACTTTTATTACCCCTGAAAATCAGAAAAGAATAAAATTTCCTATGAGACATTAAAGAAAATAGGAACACTATAGTAGAGATGTGAACTATAATGTAACTTACTAGTCTTTTGATTGATGAAAGAATGTAAACTATTATTCTGCAACCATAAACTTCACATAAGCCTATCCAATTGCTTATATCATCTCTTAGTAGTTCATGTTTTGACAAAAAGAATTGCATAATAAAAGCAGATCAAAGTAGCTTTATTGCTGTGAAGACACATTCATGTTTTAGATATTCCGCAAATATTTACTGTTTGGTTGATGAAAGCTGTAGCATGGAGACAATTGTAGAGATTATCATGTTAACCAGACAACTATATAATCTTTTTAAAATTTAATATAAATTTGTACACACAAAATACGTGGATTAGATGAGCCAAAAGTAGAGACCATCTACGTGTTATTATTTTATTAATTGGTTTCAAAGTCTTGCTAGCAAATACTATACATAAGGTTTTAAAATTTATAAATGGGTTGCCTGTCTTGATATTATTGTGTTTATATGTAGTCATAATAATAATCATTTGGAAAATGTTAGCCTAGAATATTGGAGTCAGAAAGAATCTTCAAATGTGCAAATTCTTCTTTTTACACACTCAAATGCAAATCCTTGGAGACTTACAGCTTAGAGTGACTTTAAGCTGAGTCCGGACCAGAATCCAATCTTCACTAGGCCTCATGACATATTTCTTGCACAAAGCTACCCAGACTGCCTTTTTATGCCTGCAGTACTTGCCCATTTTCTTGTAAATCAGTCATCGATGGTAAGCCACATGCAAATAGTTATTCAAGATTGATAAAAAGTTCTGATTTGATGTTTTGATTTCCTTGAAACTTGTGTAAGTCAGTGTGTTTTTCTTTTTTTGTTCTTTTCTTCCGTATCCATCTTTACTAATTTCTTCCACTGGCTAAAATCCAAATGCTTTGATAAAAAATTCCACCCATATTTGATAAACCTAACATTGATCATTGTACTTCCAGAGGAAAAGGAATAGCAAAACAAACTCCGTTTTCTGGATTGGGCCTTATTCCCATTTATTGGAGCAATGTCCGTTGCCAAGGAGATGAAGAAAATATACTGCTTTGTGAAAAAGACATCTGGCAGGGTGGAGCGTGTCCTCAGAAGATGGTAGCTGCTGTCACGTGTAGCTTTTCCCATGGTAAAAAAAAAAAAAATTCTCTTGTTTTACGTTCATTGTGTTTTAAACATGATTCCAGATGATAAAAGTATCTTAGATAAATCATTTCCTGAAAAAGTGTAAATATAGAAATAAGTCTGAGTGATCCATCATATTCTACAGTCTAATGAAATAGTCTTCAATATGAGTGCATCTAACAATTTGAATTCCATTTGATTTTCAAATACTATCTCATTTTTAACATATATTCTATTTTATATAATTTGTTTACAGAAACATTATACACTATATATGTAATATAGTGTAATATGTACTATATAATATACCATATATGATACACTTATTTTGATAATGGAAAATCATCTTGAAACCAAATATAAAATACAACAACTACAAAAAATATTTTCACTTCATATAATGGAATATAATCATGATATCAATGTTCTCCCTTGGGTTGTAGATAGCACATTCACTAAAAATGGATTGTTAGGTTGGATAAGGGTCTCTTCCAAACTCCACATACAAAGTATGTGGTGATTAGCAGTATGGCTCAAGTACACAGATATGCATATGTTCATATGAACATAAGTAGAGGAGGGAACAGTTGCTTTTTAAGATGGTGGAGGGGCTTTTTGGGGACCACAGTGTATTTTAATGCATGACCACAACATGAAGCTACCATATTCTCACAGTATCCCTTTTGACCAGATGTCCCAGGACTTGAAATGCTAGCAGCCAGTCCAGGGCAGTGGTTTCTGTTTGAGTGCAAGTATCGGGGGAGGAATAACAAAGATCCCACCACAAAACACACAGAGAGCCAGTATAGAATTGACTGGAAAAATCAATGGAAGGATATGGCACAGGTGTGTGCTCTAAGAGCTGCAATCATTTTTTGGGTGGGAGAGGTACATGTTAAATCTTGTTTAAAATTGAGGTCTTATAAGTTTTCTCTTTTCTTCTTTTGATTCTTTACCTTTGGCTAATGCTATTTTAGTCAAGTCCATGTTTATACAATGCGATTTCAGGGATGATGTTAATTGGGCCTGATAATGGACTGCTTTTTGTGGATTACTGATTTTACTCTGTGTTCAATTTGACTGATAAAACATTTAACATTTTCCAGGTAGTGAGGTAACATTTTGAAAACAGTAATTATTTTTCTTTCAGGATATCTATTCTTAAAATTCCTTCCATCCTCTCTAATCTGTTTATATTCTTGTTGCAAAGATAATTTAAGGTCATTTATAAACATAGATGAAATACAGGAGGTTGTGATAAAGTAGAAGTGAGAATGAAAAAGGATTCTGTTATGGTAAATTAAACGAGAACAGGAGATCATGTAGCTGAAGTCAGTGAACACTGAATCTACCTTAACACATGATGATGGACCTTTAATTCTTTTAGTTTGGAAATTACGTTTAGTGTCTTGTCATCCAGTACTTGTAGTTTTTCCAATACTTACAAAGTAGAAGATGATCTGTGAGTACTAGATATAGGAAATAGCAGCACTCTAGATGAAAATGTGGGGAATTTTATGTATTGTAAGCTAAATGAGTCAACTACTTTACTGAATTTTCTTTCAAGTGATTTTATGTGTTTGTTGGGAGGATAGGAAGTTAACTAGGTTATGTCCTTGTGCTTTTCTATATTGTCTATATTTTAACAATTACTTATCCAACCAGAAAACAAAAAACAAACAAAAAACATATTTTAAAATAAAATGTGACATAAGAAACAGAAAGTAGTGTGCCATAAAGGTTCTAGGTTCTAGGTTATTTCACATTTCTTCTTAACAGATTTCATTTTTGGCTTTTCTCCCAGCTTACCACACAGGGGAAAATGTATTAATTTAAGAAACATATACATTTTTTCAGTATATTCAAGCTTTTTAAAGGAAAAATACACATTATAAATAAACATGATAACTGATAAACATTATAAGTTTATTGCCATCATCAACCATGTATACTATAACCTATCTTTATCCTTTTACAAATTATAAGTGCTAGTTAACTTATATAAATATATTACAAATATCAGAATGTGAATGTATGCAAATATTCACTAATCTGAATCTACGCTGTAAAACTCAAGTATGATGTTTGAATATAAATGTGAATATCCAAATGCCATTTACTGACAGCCACTTACCATGTGGAGAATTAGAAGCATATTTCCTGTGGATAAGTGACTAGCGTTTGACGAAAGGTAAACTTCCTAGTAGCACCTCATCCTGTTCACTTTTACCATGTTACCTCCTTTATTCAGGAAAATTAGACTGCCTTCTGTTTCCCAAACTCACTCAACTTTGTGCTTCTGTTCACACTGTTCATTTTGCCTGTACACACTTCCTCCATGTCTGACTTCAAAATCTCATCCATCCACCTTGGCCCTCTTCAGAAACCAGCTTGTTCACAAGAGGTTTCCTAACTACCCCTAACTGTGAGTAAGCTCCCTTGCTTTTGAATCACTGCAGGGTTTTCTTGATAATTTCTTATCTTTACTCGTTTTATCCGTGTCCTTAGGCGATAAACTTCTTGAGATCAGGGTTTGTCTAGTGCCCTTTGAATGCCCTGCAGCACTGATAGCAACTCCTCGCACACTGCGGATGTCTAATATCTGTTTGTCAAACAGAATTGAATAAACGGATGTTGAGAATTATTTTTCCTTGTTTGGGTTAGCCTTTCTAGGTTTTTAGCATCACTTGCCAAGTCAGTAGGTCAATAGGTATTTATTTCATGCCTTTGACCTACTAGATCCCTGAAATACACAGGTGAAAAGGAAAGGCAGTATCTCTGTTCTCATTCTAGCTGAGAGGAGAGACACAATTGACATGTAAACAATAAATCAATGACAAATTTAAATAAAAGTAAATACTCCAAGGAAGACAAAATTAGACAATGTAGTAGGGAGTGCCTTAGGGTGCTGTTTTAGCTGCGACAACCAGGGCAGGTCTCCTGAAGAAGGGACATTTCAGAATTGAGAAGTGAATGAGAGGAAGACTATCATGTGAAGATCTGCAGGATATTATTCCAAGCAGAAGGAACAGCAAATGCAAAGACTGAGGTGGGAACCAACATGGACTGTTTGGGCACAGAAGAAAGAGGGCATTGTAGCTATAGCCTAGTGAATGAAACCAGGAGTGGAGGCAGGGAAGTTCAGAGACTGACAAGGGCTAGATCACGGCATTGTAGACTATGGGAATGTAACCACCTTCGATGGCTCTTAACAGAAGAAATGAATATGAGCTGACTCATGCCCAGATGAATTTTCAACATCGTATTTTGGAGGTACTGGCTGTGATGTACACCAAATTGTTATGAGTTTGGTGTTAACTTTGACTTGATTTCTACAAATATAAAAATCCATACTGAAAACAAGTATGTTATAGATATAGATGCCATTCTTAATAATTACATGTTGGTAATGCTCAAGTTACTGTAAATAAAAAAATCAGCATCACAGCCATAATACCATAAAAAGTAAATGTGTTTCCAATAATCTGCACCTTTTGGGTGTGTCTTTTCTGGTTTGTGAGGTTGTTAGGAAAAGTGAATTCAGACTATTTCCTATTAAGAGCTATTCGTATGAATGCAATTCAATTTGGAGTGTTTCAGTTGCTCAAGATTACCATGATGTATATTAGATATACACCCGTATGCTCTTCCGATCTCGTAATAACTTCGTATAGCATGTCCATATCACTGGCGTGGCTTAATAAATATTATTTAATTATTGAGAATGGCAAAAAAAAAAGAAAAAAAATAGAGTATACCTTATCCTGTTGATCAGTGTAAATATGTATGTTTAACTTGTTTTGAATTTCCCATTGCACGGGCCCAGCGTTCCCTGCCATTCGCCTTGCTGGTGGGAGCAGTGCACATGAAGGACGAGTGGAGCTCTATCATGCTGGCCAGTGGGGGACCATCTGTGATGACCAGTGGGATGATGCAGATGCAGAAGTGATCTGCAGGCAGCTGGGCCTCAGGTTAGTTTTTACTGTTCCTGTTTTGTTCTGTTTAAATTTTTGGATCTATTATTTCCAAACCCAAAGGCAGGTACTGTTTGTTTAAATTGCATATTTCCTGGAATAAATAGAAAAAGCCACCTTTTGATCTTTGTACTAGGCTGCAGACTCCCTAAAGAGCACTATGTGGACTCTGGAGTCTAACCTGCTTGTTTCTGAATTAAATTGATTTTTATATCACTAAGATCTAAGCTTTTACTAGTTACACTAGTGCCTTTACATAACTTCCAGGTAACGACCAGCGCTGTCTACTACAACAACTTAAAGTCATATGATGAAACACTACAGTTGTTAGCCTGTAACTGAAGTTTAACTCCCATCCCCCAAATATTGTCTAAACTTTTGAACTTGGCTTCCTTATTTGTTAGGTATGTGCTTAGAACAAAGGATGTTTATGAATGTGCAAAGGAAATAATTCCCATGTAGGGTATGGAAGTGAAGCCTGTGCAATAAAAACAGCAGTATGAAAATCAATATTCCATTTTGCCTCGGTTGTGAAGATTCTGGGATATTATGTTATAATTTTGGATCTTCTAATCCCTCTCTTTAGTGATTCTGAACATTGGTATAACAAGCCTAAAAGTTTTTCTAAAATTATATTAGGGCATATTTTAAAAGTTACTATTTTACATAAAATTTTGGTGGGAGGTGGTGATGGAGAGGCCTCTTGAAATTAAAGCTTCTCTGTCCATGTATCATTTTGTCCAATTAACCATAATCTTTGGCGCTGGAGCATGATTTTTGAAATCTGAACCATTAATACTCAATTTTTTGCAATTGTTTTTATAATTGGCCCTTCTCTTTTTCAAAACTTTATGTTTTATATTGAAGTATTTTAAATATAGACATCTTAACATTTTATCTCTAAATACTTCAGTATGCATCTCTTAAAATTAGAACATTGCCCTACATTGCCAATTTATCATGATGATAACTAATATAATTGGCAGTCATTCTTGATATTGTGTAATACCTATCATATTCAAATTTTCACAGTTGTCCCCCGATGTCCTTGACAGATGGTTTTCCTGAAGAGAATTAAGTTCAGGACCATGCAGAGCATCTGGGTGTTATGCCCCTTAAATCTCTGTTAATCTAGAACAGTCTTTTTTTTTTTTTTTTTTCCGCACAACACTGACTTGTTGCAGACACCAGGCCAATTGTTCTGGGGAATGTTCCATCTTCTCAATTTGTCTTACTTCTTTCTCCTGGTGTCACTTAGTTTACTTCTCTGGTTCTTATAATTCCTGAAATTGAAGGTTAGGCCCCAAGGGTGGATTAGATCAAAACAAACATTTTGGCTAGATGTCATTGTAGGTGATGTGTTCTCCTCTTGCATCTCATCAAGAGTCACAGAACAGTTGTGGTTTTCCCCACTGCTGAGGCTAAAATTGAGCACTGGGTTAAGGGTAGCATCAGCCTGGTCTTTCTCTGTAGAGTTATATTTCCCCCCTGTAACTGATCCTGGGATCTAATGGCTAATTCACAGTGTGTGTGTGGGACAGGAACAAGCATTGTGGTAATACCTGTGTTGTTTACTGGTATGATGATTTTCTTTGGGTGAGTCAGGAACAGGGCCAGGCAGTTCTTTTTGAGAAAACTGTAATTAATCATTACATTTTTGAGACTAGATTTTTCTAAGTACTCTGACTAGTGATCAATTTCAAGACCAATTGTCTCAAAGTTTCCAGGTGTTGCTGTTGGAATCAGCATAACCTAAGATAATGAGCTCACTCTTGGACTCGAGCAACTTCAATTTGCATACTACTTCATTTCTCAGTCACAGATTTCTCATGTATAACATATTTCCTAATTTATAGGGTTTTGTATCTACAAAGCAATTAGCACACATAGTAAGTATACAATATACATTGGCTATCAAGGTCAGTCTAAACAGGGACTGTTATATTTAAAAGATGTTATTAAACATTCAAAGTAAACTGAGCATTTGGTGGTGAGATCATCAAACACTATTCCTCTATCCAGAACTTCTATTTAGTTAGCCATGTCTATGAATTTTATATTTTTAAAACACTCTAATGTGTATACATTTGTATTCACCAGGTTATTGATTATGTCTTTAGTGGTGTGCTTATTGATTATCATGTTAGTTACTAAGAAACCTATTCTTTGCCAAAAATATTAAGAACATTAAGAGTATATTAATAGCAGATTTAATAATGCCAGTTGCAATATGGATTATGCTAAGTTTAAGATACAAGGCATTTTTTATTATTAATATATTTCTCTGGGTAAAAGGCAAACTTTTGTTTCTTAAAAATACATAGGAAATTTAAACGATGCACTAAATATTAATTACATTTACAGTTATCAAAGTGAGTCTAAAAATTCATGTTGTAGAGTTTTTTCTTGAGAGACAAAGATTTTTTTAATTATGTAAACATTTCTTAAACAAAGGCCACATTGTCAGCAATAGTCTATTACACAGAAATAATATACAGATAGAATTACAAGGACTATATTAATGTTGAATACACTCAGGGTTAAGTAAAACGTTAACCTCTTTCTCAAGCATTAGCTCGTTGCTATGTTTTGTATGGGGGGATACATGCTTGGAAAAGTGATTAAAAGGAAAAATGTATCCAAATATACAAGGCAGCAAAGATCCTCCACAAGCCTTTGTAGTAATTAGCAATGCAGTTTTGTAGAGATTTGTTTTTATCATGAGTACTGTGGTGCTCTAAACTGACATTTTTCTTTGCTTTTCTTTCACTTGATTTTATAGTTCTTAGTTTGCATTAAAGCAACATTCTGCAACTCTTCCTCTGTGATTTGTTTTGCTCATTTAAAGCCTAAGTACTTTCAGATAAAGTAGTTTTTTAATGGCACATGGTTGATAGCAGACAGCATGGTTGTTGCTTGTCTCAATTTATGATTCAATTTTAAGCAAGTTTCATCTCAGTCTTATTTTCTGTGTTGAATTCCCAGAGGGAAACTACATCATACCTCCCTGGAGTGTTGGTTACAGTTTCTTTGTGAGATGCTCTTTGTTGACTCTCATCTTTTAAAGATGTCTGTATATTTTGGTAGATGGCAAGCTTCCTAAATACAAAAGGAATTACTCTACTTAAGGTACTGAAATTTGATTAACTGAGAACTTGGAGAAAGACAAGGAGCAGGAAAGGAGACAGCCAGATGTTAGAAAATTAGATAACTTGAGAATGCATATGGGCCCAGTGAAGTTTCAGATGAGGACATTTTGATTAGAGTTACTTTTTATGTGCTTAACATTAAACGCATTTCCCCATGACTTTCAAAACTCTCAATAGAATAGCTTAAAACTGTGGCATCACACTTTGTTGTGTGGATGCGCAATAATATACATAGGAATTTAAAAATTGTGGACACTTTTTCCCCTTAGGTTTTTTAAAATCTAAAATTATTATATAGAATCAATCATTGAATAGTCAGAATAAAAATTCTTTTGGTATTAATTGCCTTTTAAAAAACTCTTTTTGCTCTTTTATTTTACTGTTTATTAAATTAAAAAATATTTTACAAACTTTATGATAAAGACAGTATGGTACATGGAATTATTGAGCAGGAAAAGGTCGTTCTTTAACACATGAAGATGTTAGGCCCACTAAGAATTAATTAAGCATGCCCCTGAAGTCACACTGTTAATGGGAGTCAGAATCTTGGAATTTATGGCTCCCAATAAAAATAAAAATTAAAAAAAAGAGAGAAGAAAATGATAAAGAACATGTCTTGGGCTGTGTTTAAGGTGCCATAGGCTATCAGTTGAAAATGTTCCTGGAGGCTGTAAGATAGCCAAGTGTTTCAGAGTTTGCTTTGTAATCAGGCAGACTTTACCATCTTGTAGAGGTATAGTATTGAGAAAATTATTTTACTTCTGAGCCTCAGTTTCCTTATCTGTAAATTGCAGACAATAATATCATAGATTCGTAGTGGGGATTAAATGAGTTAATACATATAAAGCTGTTAGACCTGTGCCTGGCATATAGTAAGCATTCCATACACATCAAATATTAGTGGAGATGAAGGAGACAGTTTTTCAGAGAGAAATCTAGGATACTGATTATTAAAATTGAGTTTTTTCATCCATAGGTTACAAGTGGCACAAACAGATTTTGTGGTTACAGAACCAATCTTTAATAACCTGATAAATGGTTATCTTTCACAATAGAATAGTCTGACTTTATTCTGTGTCTATCTCAAAGTAGTAACTAAGTCTGGGGATTGAGTTAGTCAGATGCTGCTATTTATTTGGCGTTTCTCTCTGGGGGAAAAAAAGCAAAAACTTTATGTTAGTACAATCTGATTAGCTAAATAAGTTTAAAAATGTTTTGAGTAAGGATCAGACATAGAATCAATTCAGTAAGTGTTCATTGGGGATTGTTGTTATGTAGATCAAACAGCTTTACACAGAAAATAATAACAATGTATTGTATCAGAGCATCCCTACTTCACAGTTTTATTCTGTGGTCAGAGGGTAGAAAAGTAGGCAACACTGGGACTTTTATCACAGATGTATTGCCAGGACAGGTGTGGAAATAATTTCCATAAAGGAAGGACAGAGAATACATAGCTTTATCAAACTCACTCACTTTGACTTTAACAGCTCATGAGTTTTATTTTTGCTTTCCCCAGTTCTGTAAAATCTCTTTAAGAGCACAGTCATCAGTTTCTTTGGTATTCCCCTCAAAGCCAGCACAGTCCAAAGCACCAAGAAATACTAGTGACTGGCTGAAGGAATGTCTGTATATATAATTATTACTTTAATTTTAATAAACTCAAAATTTGCTAGAAAATCTAGTTTGTATTATGTCATACTTTCCTTGTTAATTTTTTTTCTTTTGTTCTCAAGTTTATCCTATTAGTTTTTTTCTGATTAGTTTATTTTAATTATAACTTTCTTGTGATCATTAAAATAATATTTGTAAACAGTGGAAAACACTGAATGTATAAGGAAAAAAATT